CTTTGGTCACTAGCACTTCTAGTGAGGAAGATACAGGCACTGGTGTAGCAGCTATTTCACCTGTTCGTCTGAATATTTTGACTCTGGTTTCCAGCAAAGAACATTTTCTCCTGTTGAGGATGACTATTATTTACTTTTGGATCGGTCTCCTCGAAAACAAGTTCCACTTGGGCCTAATCATCAAGCCACTGTTCCATCGTGAAGAATAATAAGTTTGCCCAGAATGACTCAGAAACGGCACATAATGACAGTGAAGATATTAGGATGGGAACATGTATCATTCAATGCCGACTCGGATTTGTCTGCTAACCAAAGTGGTAATGTTGCTGCTGGCAGAACTGATTGTAGCTGCCTGGATAGGGGCTCTTCAAGATGTGTGCAACAGCATGTTATGGAGGCATGGAAACTATTACGGGAATCCCTTGGGCATGAAAATTTGTGAAAATGGGGTTTTATAACATGGGAGAGATGTAGCATACAAATGGAGTGAAGAAGATGAAGAGACATTTCACGAGGTTGTTTACAATAATCCAGTATCATTGGGTAAGAAATTTTGGAAGCAGTTGTCAGTGGTTTTCCCATCACGATCCAACAGAGAGCTTGTCAGCTATTAGTTCAATGTCTTTATCCTTCAGAGGCGAGCTATTCAAAACAGATCCAGTAGTCTGGACATTGATAGCGATGATGAGTTTTATGGAAATCAACAGCCTTACAAAGTTCAAGCTCTAGAAGAAGATGAAGACTCTATTGAATCCCTTGCTGATCAGGAAGACAATAACAACGGGGATGATGATAGCGGCAACTCCTATGGTGATAATGGTGTCGAATATTATAGCAGGGCTGCAACAAGGGAGGATTATGGTACAACCCTTCCGTTCAAAGGACATGCTACGAAGTCATTTGATGCTAGCAGGTTCGATTCTGTTTTCCAACAAACGGACAAGGGTTTCAGAATAATGGAGGATATCAATGTACAGTATGACCCATGTATGTCTTTCGAGTTTCAGCCAAACATGATTGACGCTCATAATCTGATTGACACAAAGGCTAACTTGCATGTTAGTGGAACGAAGAGCGACCTCAGCAAGTCTTTGCAGCAAGGTAAACTAGATGAAGCTAGTGAGCTGGTGAAATGTTTATTTATTGGATACATGTGATGCCAAAATCTGGGACACTAGGTATTCTACATCTTCGACAAAAGGCATAGATCTCCTGCCGACATCCAACATAATCGAAGAGATTTTCGGACAAGACACATGAGATAAAGAAATAGATAGTTTGCTCTTGAATTGTCCAGAATCTTCTCGTTAGATAAGGCCAAGGTTTTGGTTCTTAAACATTTTTTTCCTTGTAAATCATCTACCAACTGTATTTTGCTTCAGCAAATGGGATCCTTTTTGCTTTTGTATATGATATTTGACTTTAATACAAGGCTGGTGATAGCTATCATAAAAGTACCTTGCTATTGCATTGATGAATTCAACCAAAATTTTTCTCCGGTTTGTTTTATTCTTTTATCTCTATATTAGCATTGCGTGCTATATGGGATTGCATTGTGTCAACTAAGCACGTCCAAGTTTTTAGTAGGAAAACAACAAAGTTGTCATCTTGAATACAACCCTAACTATTATCTAATGTCAATGAAATGACAATATAGTGGCATTATCATTTAGCGATGATAATGTTCGAACATAAATGAATCAGATACACCTTTGTTTGTATTCGTTCTTTTATTAAATTAACATAAAATTTTTGTTCTTAATCATTTATTTAGCTTAATCAACAAACAGTTCACGACATGTTCGAAATAACTTCTCATAAACTTGTTTTCCAATATAGGATCAAAGTACTTCTTCCTATGATCTAAGTGCATTCTCAAAAATCAAGTCAAAGTGAATTGCACGGTGTAGACATCAATTTTTTTTTATTTTAAAATTTATTATTATTATTATTATTATTATTATTATTATTATTTATTAATATTACAAAACCCAAATCGAGGCCCAATTACAAACTTGGTAGCCCAGATCCAGAAGCCCATAACAAACCCTAAACCCAATTTAGGGTTTGTATCATCCAGCCGCCTCTTCAACTACCACGCGGCGCCTCCTCTGCTGCCAACACCACTGCCGACGCTCCACCAGTGCCACGCCTCCGATGAAGACTCCAGAAGACTCAGAGCAGCCGCACACGTTGAAGTCTAGAGTGAGTCACCACTATAGTTTGGTGACTCACTAAACTTTGCCCTATTATCCGGTCCGAAGAAGACTCTGTGGTGGCTATAAAAGCCACCACCGAACCTGCAAAAAAAGGAGGAGAGGAAGGACCGGAGATAACAAACAACAACAAGCCAAACAAAACCCATAGCAACAAATCAAAAAGCAAAGAGAGAATAGAGTGAGAAAACTTACCACCGAGGAAGCTACGCCATAGTCAGAACCTTCGCACGCCGCAAAAGAAATTGAAATACCGAGAGTATTTCTGTAGATCTAGGTAACTACAAGGCTTTTTAGAGAAAAAGGACACCGGATTCGTCTTTAGGACATTCGGATCTTTATTTTGGGAAATTTTGAAATTTTCCTGCCACCGGCAGCGGTGGCCGGTGGTGATTGCCGACGCCGTAGCACGGCTGCCGGGCGGTGGCCTCTCTCTCAGTTTTAGAGAGAGGCGAGAGAATTCTAGTTCTCTCTCAGTATTGAGAGAGAAGGGAGAAAAGAGAATGAGAGAGCTGGCCCTTCGGGCCAGCCATTTGGGGAATTTATACCCCTTCCCGAACGACGTCGTTTTGAGAAGGGGTATATGCGTAATTTACATGTATGGCTAAACCCTTTCCGTAGCCATCCGAGTTTTGTAATCATTCATTTTAGTCACTAAAACTAACTTCTGAATGTTCTAATTCAGTCTTCGAATTTTATTTTATTATGTTTTAATCCTTACCAGTATTAAATAATATATTTAGGATAAATATCATATTTAGTCCCTATTAATTTTAATATTTCTATTTTAATCACTGATTAAATAAATAATGGTTAATTACACTACTAGTATTTATATTTTATGATAATTCTAATCATGTCTCTTAAATATTTATATTTTATAATTTGATCATTAAATTTTATATAATCTTAATTTTAACCATAAGTTTTATTATTTTTAAATTTTTAAGTTCATATATTTATAAATATGATCCATTAGTTTTTAATATTATTACTTTTAATTTTTTAATTTTAATTATTGTTATTTTATTTTATTATTACGTTTGATATATGTTTAAATTATTATCTTCATGATAATTTTATTATTATTATTAAGTTATATAAATATATTTATATAATATTTATTTATTTATTCTATTTGTTTATTCAATAAAAATCTTATTTATAAATTTAATTTTATAAATTACTTTTAAGAAAAATAAACATATTTTGATATGTATTTATTATTTAATATCTAAGAAAAGAGCTGTCTTAAAATACCTAGAAGTCTTTTCTGATATTCTTAAATAAATAAATGTCTTACTTTTATAAATTGTATATATTAATCTATTTTTTAGATAAATGTTTTAATATTTATTTATTTTTTAATATCAAAGGAAAGAACTGTCTTAAAACACCTAGAAGCTATTTTCTGATATTTCTAAATAAATAAACATCTTATTTATATAAATTAATAAATTTACTTAAAATTATAGTAATAAATTTAAATTAAATATATTTTGAATTTTTAATTTTTAATAATAGAGACAATTTATAATTAAAAAGTACCAATTTTGGGCGTTGTAGGGGTGCTAATCCTTCCCTAAACGTAACCGACCACGAATCCCTTTTTATTATTAAAAAGAACGAATTTTTGGTTAAAACACAGATCAGTTTATCTTTTAATTGATGTTTTCTTAAAAACTCTTTTAAAAGATATTTTTTAGGTATTCGACCTACCTGACCCAAAAGGCCGATGGCGACTCCCAAATTATTTTCAAAACCATTTATTCACATCACTTTTCCCGTCAAGTAAATATTTCGTACCCGGACGAAAACCGGTTACGACACACGGAATTGGATTATCAACTTTCTTTATGTGTACATAACTTAGATTAATACAATAAAAGGATGATTACCGAGTTAAGTAGTAAGGAATTTATTGATATTTTAAGAAGCCGATTCGATTCATCTCTGTATATAATCGAAATATGTAAAAGAAAAAAACAAAGAAAATGGGGGCCAAACACAATTTGACATACTGGCACATATACAGAACTGATCTCTTTTAGTGGAGGCAAAGGTACGATGAATTGGAGATTCTGCCCTTACAAGCAAGACAAAAGCTAAGGCATTGTTTGGATGTTGCAACAGAAGAACTCCTCACTCGTCGGGGATCCTTAAAACAAATCTCGACCGTTCAATTCCTATCACCGGATGGTTCTCACTTGAATACACGTGCTGCCTATCTTTTTAATTTTCCCTTTTAATCTCTTTGCTTACATGCATGGAATTCTCCTCCAAATACAATACAAAAACGAAGGGTATATACAGAGAGAGGAAATGAAAGTCATGGGTTTATTTCTTCCTTCTTCTTCTTCTTGTAAGCCTGATCATTGCCTTCATTAGCGACCCATCACCTTTAAAAGTTTGATTTTTCAAATTCAAAAGGATTTTGTTGTTGGTTTCACTGGAATAAGGTGTTTGGGATGAGATGAAAATGAGATTTTAAAGATTGTATCTTTTGGGTCGGATCTCTTTTGTTGTACTTGAAACAGAAACTGTCACATCTCATTGCCAATTCTCGTTTTGATCATCATCATCATCTCCACTGAAACGGAAGCAATCAACTTTGTAATCTGTTTTTCTTTTTCTTCTTTTCCTCTACCCCTTGATCTAGATTTTGATTCTTTGTTCCTGGTGAGAGCAAAGATCATTGAAAAAAATGCAATCTTTTTGAAGATTTGAGATAAGAAATGAGTCATTGTTCTTGTTTGATTTACCGGGCATTTTCAGTTTTCCAGTGATCATTCTCTAATGGAACAAAATAGAGAGAAGAAGTTTGTTTGCAAGTATTGCAACAAAAGGTACCCTTGTGGTAAGTCCTTAGGGGGTCACATGAGGACTCATATGAACAATGAGAATCGTGCTGAAGCAGAGGGAAGAGCTGAAATCTCCTCCATAAACAAGTTTCTTTCCACATCTAATGCAACTTATGATCTGAGGGGAAACCCCAAGAAAAGCAAGAGATTTTCTGATGAATCAGGCAATGGCACTTTGCTCAGAGAGATGATGATTTGCAAAGAATGTGGTAAGGGTTTCCAGTCATTGAAAGCACTCTGTGGTCACATGGTTTGTCACTCTGAGAAAGAGAGGGTCTTCCAGAGATTTGAGGATCATTGTGATGATCAATCAGACACTGAAAAATCAGCAAGTAGGATGAGGAGATCCAAAAGAACAAGGTTAAAAAATTGTACCTGTTCAATTTCTATACCAAATGGTTCATCATCTGTTTCAGGGATTGAGGATCAGCAAGAACAAGAAGAGGTTGCTGTGTGTTTGATGATGCTTTCAAGGGACTCTTCTGGTTGTAACAAAGGATTGAACTCGGTTGCTTATTCTTCAGATAACAACTCGGTTGTTTTGGAGGCTAAATCATCTGTTAAGAAACAAAGGGAAACCAAGCTGAAATCTACCGAGACTGGACCCAAGAAAATGAAGTCAAGAATAGGAGCTGAAGATGTGAGTAAATTCAAGTGTTCATCGAATGGCAAAGCTGAGAAGAAGTTAGGGTCAAAGAGGAAGAAAGGGCACGAGTGCCCTTTCTGTTTCAGGGTTTTCAAGTCAGGCCAAGCTTTGGGAGGTCACAAAAGGTCACATTTTGTTGGAGATCCAGAGGACACAACATTGCTCATCAAACAAGACTCACCAGAGATGCCATTGCCACCTCTAATTGACCTTAACCTTCCAGCTCCTGGTGAAGAAGATGCAATTTACAGTGTATAAAATGAACAAATTTTACTTCTTTTTTATCCTTCTGCTATAAGGTAAATGACATGCCCCTCATCATTCTTAATGCTCTCCTTTTGTCTCTAACAAAGATAAGTTTATCCACCGCTACGTCTCTTGAGTCAAGTAATAAAAAGTTCGATTTTTTTTTTATAGAAAAATGTTGGAAGATTTTAATCTCTTGTTCTAAAATTCTTTTCAGCTCGAATCTGAATATCAAAAGTTTCTCAATCTTAAGTGACCTTTGTTTATCAGTTATCACAATGTTCTCCCCCATTGAACAAATAGTTCAAGAACTTAGGTCAACCTTCATTACCAAGCCAAGCTTGTAAAGTAGGTAAAGCTTAGTTCAGTTTTGTGAAATTAAAATATTACCCTTTCTTTGAGCCATGGAGATGGCATTGAAACATTGGAAGATACATGGAGTCTTTTTTCTAATAGTACGAGAGATTATAATACAGTATTTATTTATAATATTTATTGATTATTGACAACACATGTATACTATATAGACGTAATTATTCGAACTTTAGGAAAACGAAAAGTAATGCTCTTAATAATCTATGTCAATAATCTATGACATGAGAGAACAACGATGAACATTTGGTACATTTTGGCATTTAATTTGACAGGTGGTATACACTTGTTTATCTTTATTATATAATTATTACAGCACGCCATGTCCCTTTTGTTTCGTTGATCATTTATTATATTCTCTCATCCTTTGATAGCGTCTACTTGAGAAGGACGTTAATTGATCTGTTTGCTGCTTGAATGGGCTTCGATTTTTGTTGTGCTTTTAAAGCTGAATCATGGTGGTGGAGTGAGATTTAGGGCATTGAATTTGGGGTTTTCTTTCAATCATAAAGGAGCCCGTTAGGAAATGGTGGAAAATCCTAATTGGGCTCAAAATGCTTGTTATTATTTTATCTTCGTAGAAACTTGCTGGGTATGTGAGCTTTTGGACCACACCAAACCAAGACTTTCATATATGAGTATGGTTGTTGTCTGATTTGATTCGTGTTTATCTTTGTGTACATATATATCTTCAACGCATACTATATATGTTTATTCTTTTTGGATAAAATTCATATGACTTTCCATATTTTTAACATATTTTTTTCTTTCATTTTCATTTTAATCGACTTTTGTCGGTTAAAAGAGTTTCTTATTAAAATTCATTTCGAAATAAATTGACGTGCTTTTATCATAAACTTCAATCATTTTTCATTTGTATTTTTAAATTTTCAATTTGTTTGACAATTAAAATCCAATTATCAACTTTGTTTATTGACTATAGTTAAATTTGAATATCCATTAATAAAGTAAGTATTATTAAAACCTTATATTTATTTACTAGAAGGACTTGATTGGATTACATAAAAATTAGCTGACCCTTATTCCCATATGTAATGGGGTAAGGAGAGGTAGGATAGTAGGCTGCCTCCAACGTCAGATTGAAAGCAGCTTCCGTAGAATACCTCCGAATTATGAAATGATTACATCTTTCTTCTAAATGAGTGGAAAGTGGACACATCCCAGAAGAAGAAGAAAAGTCAATAAGCTTGATCTTTATCGGTATGGTAAAAAATTGAAATCAACAAGTTTTAATCTGATTTGATTTAATAGATTTTTTTTTCAAAATCAAATTATAAGATATGATATTTTTTATTTGGGTTAATAATACAGATGATCACTTATGATTGTGTTTTGTTTATTTTTTGCCATTGATCTCAAAATACATAAGATATGATCACTTTCGTTCTTATTTAATTAAGATGTGATCATCACGAGTTAACTGTCATTAAATATTTTGGTATAATCGCAAATTTAGATGTTGTTATTTACATACTCTCTCAATGTAGTCATGCTACTAATAAATTAAAATAAACTTAATCCTCTAATCGAGTGATGTCATATGTCATTGGTGTCACGTGTCGTGTCACGTGTCACTATTTGGTTGTAGGACTAACATTATTTTAATTTAACAAGCAAACCAAATTTGTGAAAAATAAATATACTAAATTAAAATAGAGTTAGTCATGCAACCAAATTGTGACACATGACACCAATGACACGTGACATCATTCGATTGGATGAATACATTTATTTTAATTTATTAAAAATATGACTAAATTGAGAGAATATGTAGATAATAGGGATCAAATGTGTGATTCTACCAAAATGTCACGTAACTTAATCCGTTAACGACAATTAACCTATAGTGACCAGGTCTTAAATAAATAAAAATAAAAATGATCATATCTTAATTAAATAAAAACGATAGTAACAATATCTTATGTATTTTGTAATCATAATCAAAAGCGAACAAAACACAAACATAAGTGATCATTTGTGTATTTAACCTTTTTTTTATTGTTAGGGTACGATAAAAATCGAGGTTACATTTAGACAAAACATAAAAACTAGAAAAGGCAAAAATTCGCTCCTTATTGCCTCATTAGGTTACCATATCTTTTTTGGGTACATATTAGGTTACCATCTTTAATCTATCTAGATCTTGAATTGAGAACTTATAGGTATATAAATAACATTAGAACTTCAAATAAAATCGAAATTAGTTTAACCTTAAATTGATTGAGTTCTATGTAACCATTAAACATCGTAAATCTAGGAGAAAAAGCCAAAACAAAAAATTTAACTAAAAGGGAGAATTTCGGGGGAAAAAAAGGTTTAAAATAATAGAAAAAGTAGAGGGGCCGAGGAAGATTAAATGTATTCACGGAATGTAAGATTATCAATACGAATAAAAGATTATCAGAGAATAAGATTACTTGAAATATTATATTTTGTGTTTGATTGGTTTAGCAGGAATGTAAGATTACCGTGTTTGGTTAAATGAATAAATGATTATTGGAATGTATATTTGATCAAATTGTCCTTATTATATATTTATTTTTTTAACAAATTTAAAAATATTTATATATTTTCTTTAAAAAATTTAAATTCATAAAATTTATATAATTTTTTTACAAAATTAAAAATTTAAAAATGTTTAATGAAAGGGTAAATTTTTATTTTAACCCCTGAACTTCATATAAAATTTTAATTATAGATTTTTTTTTGTAAATCTAAAATAGTTTAAGGATAAATTTATAATTTAACCTTCGTAGAATTTTTATTATTCAATGAAAGATTAAGAATATTTTTGAAAGAAAAAAAATTTTAAGGGCATTTTAGTTTAAAACGTCGGTAATCCAACAATACCTAAAGAAAGTGAGGTGATGACATTCTCGGTAATATATCCCAAAAAATCTAATATTAGTAATGTAAGATTACCGGAAATGACATTCCCGGCCAACCAAACGAAAAAATATGAATTTCATTCTCATGAAAATATCACGTTCCTCCAACCAAACACACCCTAAAACAACATTGAAATTCACGCAACTGAGCCATTAAAAACAAGTGGCGCCCATTAAGCCAAAAAAAGAAGAAAGAAAGTGGCACCCAATTATTAGCATTTATTCATTATTATTTACCGATTTCTGCACTTCACAGTCACGTACGAAATCGTGATGAGATCCAAAGTTAATATCGATAACAGCGCAACAGATCCAATACATAAAAGGTAGTGTAACATACACAAACCTATATATACACACATGGTTTTAATATTTCCTCATTAAGCTTAGAATTAATTAATATTAAACTCTCCTTTTAGAACAAAATATTGATTATCAGTGTATGGAGTAGCGCAAGTCAGAACCTAGTGGCTCTAAAAACCAGTATTAGAGCTAAAAAAAATGTGAACTGTTGTACCTAACCTCTTGCATTTAAACCTAATAGTAAACAGGAATTTCAAGATATATCCGCATGCATAAGCATCAAATATTAGATTTATACATACATATATTCATATGCATGTATTACATGCGAAGGGTTTAGGTTAGATAAATCTTCCCATTACGAGAATGAACTCATCATGTGAGCAAAATACTATCGAGAAAGGAATTGTATTTTCTGGTAGAAAACTCACTTTTATCTTGAAACAAACAAAGAATTGCCTTGGTTTGGCACTTGCAGGCTCTTTAGCTGATCCTTAGGGCAAGATCAGTGACCTTCAGTACTTCATCTACCAAATCGGTGGATATAACCTGTATTTGGAAAGAAAGAAAAAAGAACTAAGAACAGGGTTAGTGTCAAATGAATAAAAGAACTGTATAACCTAGCTATATACCCTAAATTCTTATGGCATATTAGTTATTACTATATGGATCGGATTAATGTTCTCCACTTGATTTTTATGCTTTTTATTCCAAAACCGACAGGCACACACACTTCAAAGTTCAACTCCAACCAGATTTTCATATATCCTTTGACGTGTCTAGAAAAAAAAAATAGTACCAATCATTCTGCTTTTTCTTCATCTTTCATCACCTCCACAAGCGTTGAACAAAGACCTAATCCCGCTTTCTGTCTTTCCGCTTTTTTTTTCACTCTTCTTGTAGGTCTGGTAAACAGACACGTTTCCCAAATGGTATGAACCAGAAGTTATTCTTTTCTTTGTTCAACACTCACTAACCAACTCACCAACCAACATTAGAGTTCCAGTCCCATCAATAATAAGGGGCGGATGGTAACGACAACCAGAGGGGTCTTGCCCCGAAGTTTAAAAATTTACATTTTATTACTCAAAATCTTTTTAAAACTTTTACTATACCCTCTCAATATTTTTAAAAATTCTTAAAATCTTTTTTTTTAATATTTTTAATCAGGTTCTCTCAAAATTAAAAGTACAGTTCTAATTTTTATTTTTATTTTTAAAAATAATCACATTCTCAACTTCTTTAGAAAAATCTTATTAAACCCCTAAAAATTTCAAAAACTTTGATAAGACTTCCAAAAAAAATTAAAATATTTGATTAGACCCTTCCAAATTATCTCCACAAGGTTCGCCACTGTCAATAATCTATGTAGTTTTGTTGGTTGAACATTCATTAGCATTTTAGTAAACATTAGAGTTTGAGTCTCACTAATAATATATTTGGTGAGTAATTTATAAGTAGTACTTTTAATCT